TCTCTCTCTCTCTCTCTCTCTCTCTCTCTCTCTCTCTCTCTCTCTCTTGCCTCATGCATTCTGACCAGAAGGAGAGATAATAAGAGTGGATAACTTGTCATTAAGTAGGAAGACAAGCCCTCACAATACATCTTTGACTATTTAAGATACAGTATATCACAGCCATAAGTGAAAGAGTTCATATGCACACATTTAAAAAAAAAAAATAACAACTCAAAGTTTCCGTCCGTCTTTTCCCTCAGGTGTGTAACCCTGGTGAGGGTGGTAAAGGCGTTTCATTGTCGATGACCAACGTTCACTCACAGACCAACGGGCAGCAGTCACAGGGATGCACCGTCACTCCCAGCTCCTCTAAACACGGCTCCATCGGATTAGACGACCTCTCTGGAGGCATAAATAAGAAGAGCGGAGGAGGAGAAGTGTGTAAGGATACGATAACTCAGTCGTCCGACTCATCCCTGCCTGACTGCTCCACGACTACGTCAGTTCTCAGCCAGCCTTGGGGAGCCAGAAGTCCAACAGCTGGAGCCGATGAGGAGAGAGCTCAAGCCGGCATCTCGTCGCCCACCGGCAACGGCGGTTCACTGACCAAGTCAAAGCGGAAGCCCACTCCGAGTAAGCCAGGCTCGGCTAGCTCCAACCTCTCGCCCACTGCTGAAAACCTCCCCTCCTCCTCCCCTCGCCCTCCTTCCTCCCCCTTCTCCACTGCCTCCTCTGCTCTCCTCCCCTCCACCCCGCTGGAGAACCTCAACACCAACCGCAACAACTCCACCTCCCTTAACCAACCCCCATCTTCCTTCTGCCCTCCCCCTTTCTCCAGCCCTCTCGCCACCCTGAGCCCCGTGCCCTCCACCCGATTTAGAGAGACGCCGATCCTGCGCAGGGCTCCCCGCACCTCCGCCTCCGCCAAGTACCGGACTGTCCCTGCGGAGGAGGCTGGGAGGAGCAGGGCGAGGAGGAGGTACTCGCTCAGCGAAGGCGGCTCAAAGACTCACTCGTCTCATCAGGGAGCAGGAGGAGCACCCAAAGTAGGGCGCGTAATGCGGAACAAAAGGAGCCAATCAATGAGCGGGATTCTACTCCCAAAAGACGGGGATGGAGACTCGGAAAAAGGGCGGTGCGATTCGGACTGGATCTTAGAAAGCACAGTTTGAACTGGAACGAGACAGAAACCCATAAAAAAAAAAACTTTGAGTCATTCATATTTGTTTATCTTTTGTATGAGTGTATGCGTGAGGTTTTGTGTGTCACTTTGAACTTCTCTCGAGGTGTATGAGTGAAGGCTAATGTGGGTTTGTGTGTGTTGTTGACATTTTGGATGTGGGTTTTTTGGTGTGTACAGTTTGTGTGCGTGTGTTCATGTCGGATACTGTGTTTATAGATGCTTGAAAGGGTGATTTTGTGTTTCTGGGTGAAAGCGTGAATATATTTCTGTTCTTTTTCAGCCTGTTTTTTTTATTATCTTCATGCAATTCTTTGTATTCAGTTTACAGTTGTTGTTTTCTCTCCCCCAAACAGTTTCCTGTCTGGTTTTCAGTCGGTCATTCAGCGAGTGGATAATTCGCCTTGTCTCGTAGCGTCGAGTTGTCTCGTTGGTTCCACTTTATAACACAAAACAAGACAATGGGCTCGCCACGTCATTTCCCGATTCACACTCACCTTATCTGAAAATACCACGAAAAAGGGAAATATTACAGGAAAAAAAAGAGGAATTAAAAAACAATACAAGAACTGCAAAGCACACCATTCTCACGCTCACACGCCCACAGGAAGTGTGTGTCCATACCGCAGCAAGAGAATAGCAGTCGGTGCCTTCTTTTGCACCAACAGACCCTCTGACAGACATATCCGGTTTTAGGACTCCACCACGCTCCCTGACCGAGGGACTAGGACGGAAGGGGGGACAAACATAAAGGAAGAGAGTTCACACATAGCCTTTCTTACCTGCTGAGGAGTACAGACGTCGCTCCACACAAACGGAGACAGAAAGTAAGAAACAGATGAAGACTTTAACGGACCTCTTATGAAATTGATATTTTTTAAACGGAAGAATTAAAAAAAAAAACTAAAAAAAAACACATAAAAACCCTGTGAGCTTTTCACTGACATTGGTATACTGCAGCCTGTGTTGGTCACAAGCTCCCGGAAAGCTACTGTACAGAAAAAGACAACATGTACATGTGTTGTTATGTTGTGTAAAATAAAAAGGGATAAAATGAAAACTGGAAATGTGAAACGTGTGTTTTATGGACACAATAAACTTGTGAGGACACGTTGTTTACTTGATATTTGTATATTGAGCACGGGGGAGGTTCTAACTGCGGCAATAAAGTCTCCAGCATCAGTCGCTACTGAGATTGATTCTTACGACAAGGAACGGTAATAATAATGGGAGGTCGAACTGGCATCAATGTTTGTGACATCAATTGTTACTTTTTAGAAAACAAGAGAAAGAAACCAGAACAGACAGATGGTAGTTTTCAGTTAAAACTATTTAAGTTTCACTTTTTTATTCATCTTTTTATGATTTGATACATCAGTGTGTATGCACACTCATACACACTGTCTGGCTGTTCATTTAGGGTAGAGAATCTATTTTCCAAACCTCCCACTTTTCCCTGGCTGCAAACACTTTTTGGAGAGTGTGACAATATACGCCAAGGATGAAGTCTCGTAGGATATGTTGTTGTTGAGTGCTTACAAAAAAATAACCATTGTCTGATCTTTCTTAATTCTTCTTTTGAGGTCCAAACTATTTCAAATGTTTTTTTTATCAATGCTAAAATTGTATGTCATAAATAATGATGGACATGTGTAGGTATCTTGTGCTCATACTATTAGGGGGCAATACTGTACTCACTTTGTTCTATTGAGGTGAGGGATGAAAGTGACACACAACTGTTTGCACTTCTTTTCATGGTTGCTCAGAGAATATCTCAGCTCCCACTTGCTGACATATGCATTCCCATGGTAACCAAATTATCTTGCATAATTGTATAGATCTCGTCCTCGACAGTTCCCCTGAATGATGGAAGGATTTAATAATAATTCACTTTTGAATTGATCTTAACAATTCTACCATCACAATATCATGGGGGTCGGTCTTTGTTACTTTCACACCACAAACAAACCAGCATTCCAAGACCAATCTGGTCTGCATCCGAGTTTGATTGACAGCCCAAATTAATTTGAATAACATCAAACAGGTTAGGGTGTGATATTACCACATCAAGTCATGGTAATTAAACGAGTAGGCATTTCTCTCAGACCCGAACTTCACCTTTAACATCTCCTCTAAATGTTGATCACAGCAATAAGGATGTGGGGTACACACGGCACATATCATAAACACCATAAAGTATGCCGCCATAGAGCAGCACCTACAGATACAAGGCGACCCGGGGGCCACAGACAGTATGGGTGAAGTCACTATTAGTCAACATCAACGAAGGGGAGTTGATTCACTTTGGAATTAAATCACTGACATTTGTTTGACATGAAACAGTTCTGACAGGCAATTGCAAATGGATGTTCTCCCTTCAATTATCACACATTGATGTTTTAATGAAGTAAATTGAATTGACTGAACTTTGCAAGCATATTTTGGTGTGTTTTCCTGTGCTTTTCTAAAGTGGCAGGACCTCACCCTTAGACCTTTAGGTTGAATTATTAATAACGAAGTCAATGAAACTGAAGTGTCCTATCCTGACAGTTATTTAATTAAAGCGAGTGAGATACAAACCTGAACTCCTGTGGGATTAAAACCAAAATGACCCCCCCACTGCTGCGCTAAGTTTGCATTCAGCTTCTCTCCCTGGTTTTGAATTACAATGGCTGACGATGCCAACAGACATCAGGTGAATATTTAAACAGGAACCCGAGTTGCTGGACTGTCATATGATCGGCTGAGAGGGGAAACAATTGTCCTTGTTTAATTTGTGTTAAAAGCTGTAGAGCTGTCCTACACAGCCAAGTAAGGGAGCTCACACATCCGCAATCATGCTGTCCTTAAAATTGTGACAATCATTTCCTGGTTCATGCCTCCTTGACTGACCTTCCAATGCGTTTCTTAAGCTTAAAATGCTTGATGGTAATAGGCTTTGGAGGAGACAATCCCTCTCTATATCCTTCCACATTTTCCCTCCCCTTCACCCCCTCTTCCTCCCTTCATCTCTCAGTTTCTCTCATTCATCATTTATGTATTTTTGGGGGGGATTTAGCAGGAGCTTTTTGCAGTAAGTGATAGTTTGTGTAGGAGAAGATTAATACAATAATCTCTGACATTCACCCTGCATTTAAACTATTAAACACAGGTTTTGTTGAGCACTCCAGAGTCACATGATCCATGACTTGGGTGCAGAACCTGGAAGACAGCTCTGATTTGGGCAACCTGATCAAGACCCAGCAGACGTTTGATTCATATTGTGGAAGCAGGTGGCAGAGGTGCCTGAGAGAAAATAAACTGAAAGTGAGGATAAATTGTGAAAATGTTAGAAACAGTTGGAAAGAATGATTAAACAATTGCGATGGGAAGCAAGAGAGGAGCATGGACAGCAGAGAATAAGCCTTATTACAGAAATCCATGATATTTTAATGCTGCTAATTAAAGACTTTGCTACGTGATCCAGAATAGTCGGTTGCAGATCAAAGTGAGTTTTTCATTTCATTCATTATGACATGCTGAGGTATGATTTCTTTTAACACAATACTATGACTTCTTTGACACACAATAACATCACCTTTTATGATATTTTAAGAAATACTTTACTCTAACTTTTTTACCTTGATATAATTTGACTATTTTATTTTATGACACACTATATTTAGACTTGTATGACATTTTAAAATACTATACTAGGACTTTTTTCATGTTTTTTAGCTATACAATTGTTTTTTAATCTACTATGACTTTTTTACATGATGATATGATTTTGTCACACACTATACTTTGTCATTTTAACACTTTTTGAAACACTACACTATGTGTTTTTATGTTTTTTAATGACAAACTATATACCGGTATGTAGGTTGATGGGTGGATTGATTGATAGATAGATAGATAGATAGATTATATTTCCATACATTCTATTTCTATTGTTTGTATCCTCTATTTACCATGGTTACTGAATTCATGTCACAGTCTCTGTCACTGTAATTTTGCATTTTAAGAATTTGTCTACTGCTCTCCTCCAGCATGGATGACGCTGAATACACAAGTAGAGCGAGCAACGAAGGCCAAGACTGACTGACTGTGATCAGCATCCCTCATTTTCAACCTCCAGGTTCCAGCTAAAGTCTGTACAGGGCTGAAGAGGGCTTGATTCTTCGAAGAGAACTGGGGGTTTTCCTGAGGCTCCAGTGAGCTTAGCTGATGTAACGATGCCCACATAATGTCATTTTCTGGAATTGGAAAAGTACACTTTTACCAATGTAGTTTTCTCGAGCAACATGTACAAACATAACTTGTGAAACAAGAACAGGCTTGGAAACCTGTCGAACAGTTTTCTGTAAGATCAAAAGGCTGAGTATGCAGATTTACAGGAGAGTAATCAAGGTGTAGGGAAGTCTTTCTAACCCTCCTGACTGTCCTTTTAAAGGGGATTTCCTAACAAATTTGAAAACCCGGGTAATGCTATGGCTCTGTTTTTGCTTATCATTTTCTAGGAATGATATGTGTAATTTAAATCAATTACAGTGATAATAAAGAGAAAGCTTATTTTAGTTGAGGAAACAGTTGAGTTTCTAAATAGCTGTTCCAGAGGAACTTCCTTTAAATAGTTGCTGACTTTGAACCTGTTCAGTCAATATTCATTTCTCCCTCTTAAGCAATTATTTGCAATGCTTACAATTAATTGAAATCAATTAAGACATGAGTGTGTGTGTGTACGTGTGTGGTGTGTGAGTGTGCCAACAAAACACAATACACACCTGCTCAGATGCTCACAGAACCATATGGAAGTGTGTGTGTGTGTGTGTGGGGGGGGGGGGGGGGGGGGCTGAAAGTGAGAAGACTATTTGATACTGTAGCAGAGGAACTCAATACGCAGCAACCTGAATTGCACACACACAAACACACACGTACACACACTTTCCTTTGGCTTTGCAGGAGATTTCCCACTCTGAATTATCTGAGCCTTCAGGGACTGTGGTCTTGTATAATGAGCCGAACACTAATTATTCTTGTGTGTGTGTGTGTGTGTGTGTGTGTGTGTGTGTGTGTGTGTGTGTGTGTGTGTGTGTGTGTGTGTGTGCCTGTTTGTCCATCTAACTGGCTTTGCTTCATTTCTATGGCGTTGAATGTCAAACTGAGGGATTAAAAGAGAGGTTAGAATCACAGGCCTAATGTAGATCGATGCATTGTTCTGGAGGGTAAAATAACACAAACATGTATGTGTTTGTTTGCATAGGAGCAGAATGATTCTGCCCCTCTTCCTTTTGCTCATGAAGCCAGAAGGACTGCTTTCTGAGTGTGTCAGCATGTGCCAGCCAACTGTGGTGATGCGTCAGCATGTACGCAACGCAGGAAGTGTGTGTGTGTGTGTGTGACTTGCGTCCGCATGTCAATGTGTAATGAGTGATGCGAACATCACCTCGACATCACCTCAAAGGAAAATAATGAGATTCGTTTTTCAACAGCATCCTGTTAAATAAGTGCAAAGTGTCAAGTTAGCAACATCATTTTGTTTGAAGCAAATGGACCGTGCAGGGAACAAATGAGGCGCTACGTCTTGCTTTCCTCTAGCAGGCATTGGTAAGTTACTGGCTGAGGGGCATGCGGTTCAGGCTCTGCAGGAAGATTAACTAATCTGGTAAGGGAAAAACAAAATTGTCAACTAGTCATGCATGCTGTAAAACATTACATCAGACATCTTCAGACACCTGGAGGTGTCTTTTGTTTTCTTTTTTCATTTACATGCATTTTGAAATGCATTTTATGACAGAGAGAAGAAACAACGGCTAAATAGTCATAAGACTAAAAAATAAGCTCCTTGAGATGAAAGCGTCTTACATACAAGTGGATCCAGCATCGTTTAAGATCAAGGACTTAATACAGTGAAAACCTCCAGGCATTTCATCTACGTAAGCCTCTCTGCTTTTCCCCGGCGAAAGAAATATTGATGCATTATATGGAAATGTAGAAAATGAATTAAATGGAATGGGAGGAAATTTCAAGGAAAGAGGTTGTAAAGGTGCATATATAAGGCAGAATCATATCTGATAGTGTGGATTGCCTGGCCTTGAGTAGTCAAACCATTCAGATTCTGAACGTCCTCCGCTTTCAGGGATGGTTATGTTTTCATAACCTGAGAAATCTCAAGGCGCTGACTGAAGGTTTACTATGCTGCTCCACGTGTTAAAATACATTTCAAGATGACTGTAGAAACAAGGGG